GAGCTATCGTAAAGCTGTTTGGCAAACACCGGGGCGGGTTCCCAAAGGAAGAGGGCTTCTTGTTTTGGTCTGCCTCGGAGGCAGCGTGACAACACCTGGCCGTATTAGCTGAGCCAGCCCCAAGGTCAAGGTCTGGACAAAAGCTCAACTCTAGTCGCATACCGAGCAAAAAAAAAAGAAAAAAGTAGACGTCGCTTTTCCCACAGCCGCTCCGGCAGCGTATCACTTACAGCGTGGTTAATACTGGAGGAAAACAGGCCGCGCAGGAAAGCTATGTAACATTAGGAAGCTTTTCTCTTCTTTTTTTTTCTTTTTAAATGATCTTTAAACAGAACATACTGTATGTTGGAGAGTGTTTGTGTGTCTAAATGTGGAATAACCACAATATCCCGTCACACTGTATTACAGCGTCTATACTGTAACTGTTATATGGTGTCCGGAATGATTAAAGAAAGATGTGGTTCGTCTCCAAAGAACCCAAGAGCTGCATTTTCTCTTTAAGTCGCCTTGAATAACTACAAAAATGGAGTGGAGGGATTTCTGTTGGCTTCTTCTATATCTAAAGATAAACTATTGACTTGAATAATTAAAAGTGATGAATCTGAAGAGAGTTCCTGATTTCATTTGTTTATAGGAGCATAAAAACTAAAATCACATAATGTTATTATTAGACAATTTTAGTAACCTTGTGAGGCTCTGCATTGGTTTGCTACCATCTGATCAGGGCAAATCAATTGCAAATCCATTAATCTCTTGATTATTTTTTTGATTAACCCTTTATAGGGCACTTAGTAAAATACTTTGAAAATCTAAATTTCAAGCCAATAGTGTTATTGGAATCCAGGACAAGACCTTATTGCCTTTATAATATTACAAAATATGGATATTTTGATGGCAAAAATGAATGTCAATGTAATAACAAGAAACGCCAACTTGCCCTTTCTATAAGAAATTCATGAAAAACACACATTTTCTTGGTCCAACATAACCTTAGAGGCCTTAATGCTGATACTGGCCATGAATTTTTTTTTAGTTTAGAAACCTAAATATAATTGTTAACTAGGCTTATTGGCTTTTTAACTTTTACTTTTGAACTTTTCAGGTAGCTTTTACCTTTTTTTTCTTGACTTTTTAACTTTTTTCCCAACTTAATTTACAGTAGGTAATATATCATTCAAGAGCTCATCTAATTGGTCAAATGCCAAAATCAGATGTACAGCCATATAGCAACATCTTTGCTGAATGGCTGGGTATAGATCTTGTGCTTCTAGACCATTTGTAAGGGGTATGCAAGTGATCAAAAACGCCCACTTGCCTTATAAAGGGTTAATTGATCAAATAGCCAAAGATTCCTTAAAGAATATTTTTTTTACGAAATCAAACCAACTAAAACTTTTCCACCTGAGGAGTTCTGGATAGAGCATATTGACAGACAAAAAAGTTTTCTTTATATTAAAAGCGAAATATTTATATATTTTCTTTCAATTTTGGTGTAATTGCAACCCTAAGTGTGTCGCCTTCTCAGCTAAAGGCACTTTTTAGAGTCTCTATACTCCAGTTAACGATTAATCAATTACTAAATTAGTTGACGATTGTTTCAATAGTCGATAAATAATGTTTAATCCGATTAAAGGTTTCAGGGCTTGATCTTACTAAGTTTTTCATCTTTTTCAGCTCTTTCCTTTTACCTTTTCTTAAATATACTCCGTTAAATGGGATTCAACAGAGACATTCTCAGAGTATCCAAAGAGTTTTCTGACTGTATAGAACAAGGAGTGTCACAGCACTTGTTGCTGTACACTGCTGATCAGCTGGCTGAAAGATAAGCATCTTTATCGTGTCTGCAAAACAGATATGATTTGGATCTATCTGATGATAAAGAACTTAAATACTGTGAAATACAGACATTTTTCTGTCTTTGTAATAAAATAAAACATCCGTGAGTAATTACAACTTGATAGAATATATATATACATATATATATATATATATATATGTTCAAAATATAAGCTTTTACATATGGGGGATTCAATGTGGCACATATTACCCCAATGAGCAGAACATTAGAGATGAGAAAATGAATATAAACAATTCTTTATTTATGTTAGAAAAGATAGAAAATGTGGCTTGTAGCTAATTTTACTGTCATTTTATCGCATCATTTTTTCATAAGCAGAATCTTTTGCAATGTTCGACCGCTTCTCGGCGTAAGGAAGCTTCTACGCCTCTGTTTGCAGGGCAGTTGGAGAACGACTGATCAGTGCATCTGCTGAGGACGAGAATGAGAAAGAGAAGTTTGAATCAGCGCTCCCATTTATCTGGACAATTATAGAATGAAATAACAAATAAAACTCTTCACTTTTTAAGCCCTACCTGCTAATACACAGTTCTATGTTACCTGGTACCTGTGTGAAATTTAAAAGTTAGCCTTCTGAGAAAATGTATAAGTAAAATCAAAGCTTATCTTAGCATCATGACTTTATAACATAATAAAAATGTTAAGCGCAAATTCTGCATTTCATAGACTAAAATAATCATGAGAAATAAAAGATATTCTTCTCCAAACCTCTTTTTTTCAACATAACACCAATGAAACCAAAACTTCCAATGTGTAATGCCTTCAGCTCAGCAGACAGAAACATTAAAACAACAAAAGCTTGTCTACAAAAGAGAATACGCTAAAACTTTGAATATCTTGTCTGCATTTTTAAGGTAAAACAGGTTGGTTCTTCATTCAGTGAAGTTTATTCAAACGTAGCGACTCTTCATTATAATAGGTATTTTTACAATGTGAATCCCAAACTAAAATTAAGATGCAGCTGCAGCGGCAAGACAAGGAAATCACAGATAAGATAAGCATAAAAACCCAAGAAGTCACTTATTTACAGAAAAGTATTCGTATCCAACATCAGCATAACAAGTAAGAGCAGTAAAATATGTATAAAACAAATAGGACTAGATATAAACTCATGTTATGAACCAGGGTTTAAACATCACACAGAGCAATGTTATCAGAAGTAGACAGTAGTCTAGTTGTAAAAAAAAAAGACAGGAGGATGGTGGAATTTTATTTTATTTTCGATGTATACATAGCCCAATTAATATATTCTATTAACCTAAAACAAAATGCATGTTCTGGTTGTTACATGTCAGGTACGCCAGTCATTGACCTTGACCAAGGCACCTTACAGTTTTTGATTTTATTTATTATGCTCAGGCTGCTCATAAGCCCACTTAAAAAACGAATTTAACCGTTTTTGGCATTTACTCAATCATATTTAGTTACTTTAATACAATTTTTTCATGTTAGTAGGGTGGGTCATAAAACAATTGTGTTAAAATAACAATAATAATATGATTAAGCGAATTCCAAAAGCGATTGCATTATTGTTTTCTGTGACACAGCCTGCCAAATGTTGAAAGGGCAATATTACTGCCTTTACTGTTAATATATAGTAGAAATTTTACATGTTCAGTATTAAAATGACGCAACAGGTTGCTTAAGAACTCATTTTATTTGACTGAGGAACATGGGTGGTTCTAGACAGGGGCCAATGGGGGCCAGAGCCCCTGTAGATAATGTCCTGGTCCCTGTTATGGCCCCTGTACTGAAGACTTAATACTCAAAGAAGTTCTAATGATGATATGCGCTGGAACAGACTTTGTTACTGATAGGTCATTTGAATCTATTTCTTTTTTTTTTTCTTTACAAATTCTGTTTTTCTAATTATTTAAAAACAATAAGATTATAGCTTCAGTGGTATTGAGATAGGATCCCAGTTTTCATCTGCTTTATTGTTTTTTTCAAAACAAATTAAAAAAAAAAACTCAGATTTTTACTTCTGAATCTATCAGTTTTTGTTGAGTTCAAATTCAGATTTTTTTCTTTTTACAGTGTCCTATCTGGCAATGTGGCAATAAGAACAATTGTCTTGATGCCAAAAAACAGATTTTGCTTTCTCAAGTGGAGCAGTATGGCTATGGCCATAGTGTTCCGCTTCGTTTATGCATGTAAATAGCTGTTTTATAATTCTTGCAGGGAGTATTACAGATTATATGGACACTCCAATGTAAGTACAACAGGAAAGGAAAAACAGGAAAAACGAGAAAAGATGAAAGAAAGAGGAGATAAAAGCGAGAAAGAGAAAGAGGAGGTGAATGGGATACAATTATAAAACGTCTTCAGTCTGCTTCATCACCTGCAAATAGATGTGAAAGAACAACACAACTACCAGATATAGTATAGGAGATACAATAAAGTAGCACTTTGATACTATAGCTGAAGTATGTATACGGTGGTAGCTGAAGATAAGAATATGGGCTTTCTGTATTGAGGTGAATCTCTAAGTACCTGGAGCCAAACACCTGTTGTTTTTTGTGAGAGTGCACAAACAACAACAGGTGCTTATAAAATCAAATTCTGATTTTATAGAAAATTTTGAATTTGAAAACAGTTAAATTAAGTCAAAATTCGGTCAAATTCCTAAATTGTGAATGTATAATCATTTAATAAGACATATAATTTTAATTAAACCCAGTTGAATAGAAATTTCACGTCATGCAGCTGTATTAATATATCTGAATCCATTTCTCTATTTTTTTCTTCATGTTTTTCTGTTCCCCCATGAAAACACACTGGCCCCCTCCTGGCCCCCTTCTGGCCCCCGGGTACATTTGTTCTAGAACTGCCACTGCTGAGAAATACCTTCTGATCTGAACCATGAGACACAGGGAACATTTAAAACGATTAAAGCAAGAAGTTATCTAAGTAGTGACATAATGCTTGTTTATGCAGCACTAAATATGCTTTCAGAGATGTGAACTGGACCTTTGCTGCAGTTTGTTTCAGAAAGCAGAGAAACCATAAAGATGTGAGCAGGAAGTCAGAGCCCTGAGGGAATAATGAAGGTGTTAAAGCCGCTGCTTCTTATGCTAATGCTGCTCTGACATCATCAGTGAGATCAAAGCGGGGCCGGGGTACTTTAGAGCTCAGTCTGCCCCCACTCAGCCCACTTCCACAGCAGCCACGGCGCGTCACACCGCCTGCTGACCGACACCAGCTCACACACAATGCGGACCTGCCCGGAGCTCAGGATTTTACTAAAGCTGACAGGGACAGCTAACCTGGAGGATAACGACACCCACTGACATTTTACTGCTTTTTATTCACTTTTTGGATTTTTTTTATTATTTTTTGGTTTTGTGTGCGTGGAGTGGAGTGGAGTGGAGGAGCGCCGCGGTAAAGGTGAGCTGCGGAGATTTTTCTGCTGGAGGAAAATCACAATCCGCCTAAAAAATCATTTCACTTTGTTTGGTGCATTTAAAGGGCGACAATAATCCGCCATTCCTTTAAAAGAGCATCTCTTCCCACATAATTCATTTTCTTTTTTGGCCAAAACTTTATTGTAACTTTTGGGAACTTTTAAACAGAGACTGAAAAGAAAAGCTTGTGTTTGCTGTGTGTGTGGAGAGGCTCCATTTAAAGCCTCACATTTACTCGCATTTAAATGTTTTAAAGTCATTTCAACACCTTTCCAAGGCCTCCAATAAGTTTGAAGCTAATTTATCCTGTTTTTAATATCGATAATGATCGATTAGCTGATTATTGGATGGTTTTTAGTCACGCTGAGAGCATTTAGAGCTTTAAGAGTCGCTGGAAAAACGCGCACCTTGACTGAGTTGTTTCTGTTTGCTTGTTATAATGATTAATATCAGTTAATAGAGTTTAAAAAGGCGCCGCGGACCAATCAGCGGCCGAGCTGCGGAGCTCGCGCTCGGAGTGCGCCTTTCACGCGCTCGGTGTTGAATGAGGCCTCAGAGGATCTGCTCTCTACCTTTTCTCCCTGTTTTGAGCCGCTGTCCTGTGATGCAGGTCCTCGCATTTCCCCTTGTGACGACAAATTCAATTAAAGGGAGAAAAATAATCAGACAAACACATCATGTTTGAATGAGCGGAACCTCAATTCACCTAAAATACTAAGGAGAATATTCCCGTGTATATGTATATATATGTTTTTGTGATCATTTTAAATGGTTCATTATTTGGCTGCGCCCTTTTAGGGTGTTTACGGTTAAAGAAAAAAGATTTTATGAAAATACTGCTAAACTAACTAAAATGTCCCTGCTGTTTTTTTTGTTTTTTTGTTGTTGTTTTGTTTATTGGCTGGAAGCAGCTCCTACAGAGGATTTTCCCTGCAGTATGATTGAATACTTGGCGTTCTGCACTGCTGGTGAAGTGCCTCTAGAAGTTTTCCAATTTTTTTTATTTATGTGTTTCTAACTCCTCTGTCTATCATCCCCCTTACCTTAACCCTTTATAGCAAACTCAGTAAAATACTTTGAAAATCTACATTTCAAGCCAACACTGTTATTGGAATCCAGGACTAGACCTTATTAGCTTTGTAGCTTTAAAAATATTATAGATATTAATAATGTAATAACAAGAAACGCCAACTTGCACGAATATATATTAAGAAAAATATATTCTATAAGAAAATCATGAAAAACACTCTGAGAGTGAAAGAAACACATTTTTTTTGGTCCAACATAACCTTAGAGGCATTAATGCTGATACTGGCACTTACATTTTTTAGTTTATAAACCTAAATATAATTGTTAACTAGGCTTATTCACGTTTTAACTTTTCAATTAGCTTTTTACCTTTTTTTTCTTGACTTGTTAACTTTTTTCAAACTTAATTTACAGTACGTAATATTTCATTAAAGGTCTCGTCTAATTGGTCAAATGCCTAAATAAGATGCACAGCCATGTAGCAGGATCTTTGCTGAATGGCTGGATATAGATATTGTGCTTCTAGACCTCACTCCATTTGTAAAGGGTATGCAAGTGATCAAAAATGCTAACTTACCCTATAAAGTGTTAAAAAATATTTTTTCTCTGAGTAAAAATAGCCCTAAATAATTCTAAAAAGACAATCCAGTGAATCAAAAATAAAATTTCCACTGCATTAAAGCGTATTTTATGGTCTTATTGTATTCTATATAAATGTGTGTTTTTTTACTTAGTTTTTTAATGTTTTATAGCCATTATCATTGATATTGTCCTGATTTGTTGCAGGATTTGAAGTCGGGGCGCCGTGCCATGAGCGTTGACCTCTGAGTGGGAGCCCTTTGTGTTTGTTTCCTTTTGTGAGCTGGAACCAGAGGCCATGATGAGGAGCAGCTCTCACATCCTGCCTCTTGGTGTTCTCACTGCTCTGCTGCTGTCTCAGGTCTGCTCAGGCATTAAATGGCTGTAAGTATCCTCCGCAGTCCTCCTCTTCCAGCTCAGAATGTTTTCATTTACTCTTCTTTTTTCTTTTATGCAAACACTGGTTTAGTCGAAGATCCAGAACTTTGTTTGCTGGATGTTTCAACAAAGTGGAGCTGCTTGGAAAACAGACAGCGGCGTTCCATGAAGCTCCACTGTCTGTGTGTGTGTGTGTGTGGGGCGGTGGGATCCGATGACAGGGAGAGCAAATAAGCCGCTGTTTTTTTTATTGTTGCATTTGTCCAAATTGCGAAGGAATTTTTCCATTTTGTTAGACATTGCTGCACGTTTAACGTCGATGGAGAATGAAACGAGTCCCCGCTGGAGAAGAAGAAGAGCTGAGGATTGAAATGAGGTGGCGCCGCGGTGGATGTTGTCACTGCTTTCTGTGTGTAGTCTAGTTAGGCCTCAGATTATAAAAATAGTTTGCTGTAGAAGCGGGACACGGCGGCGATGTCAGGTTTTTTTTATTCACTCGAGAATAGAAGCAAAACAATCATTTTCGCATGAGGTTTTGGAAAGTCCTCAAAATTCCAGGGTTACTGTTTGGATTTATGTGTTTACTGTTTTAAATTTGTGCAGCGTTTTCACTGATGAACCAATCAGGCTTTTCCTGGCTGGTGTGATGTCTGACCAACCCGATCATTTCGGTTCGGTTTCTCTACACAACTAGAAACACATCTGTGTTAACTGTTAAATCATAATCTGGAATAAAAATTCCTCAACTTAAAAAAGTTTACACCAAACTTTCAAATAAACCTCTTCAGCATGATGCTATCAGTTTTATCTCTACAGTAGCCCCACCATTATACATACAACTGTTCAAAGGGTAATTGTAATATATATTCGGTGTTATTCTCATTTTAATACAAAGATTTAAGTACAGGTATTCAGTCATTTTTTAAACTGCTAATTCTGGGATGATATCAGTGAGTTTATCAGTCAGACTTTCTGCTTTCGTAGCTTAAAACAGCATTACTTTACTTACGCTGGTTGGTTGGTGTCGTTCCAAACTAGAAAAACTTCCAAACATCTAAATGTGTCTGTCAAGGAGAAGCTAGGCGGAAAAAAATGACAGCAACGGGTAGGGGAGGGGAGCCCCACACTGCACCGTGCAGGCTGAGCATTATGATCAGTGAACAGGCTTAAAACTGCTGATACAACATTTCTAGCAAGCTTCCGAATTTATGGATTTAAAGTTTCTCTCAGCAAAAACTGATCTAAAAATAATCACATTTCTTAGAATTAGTGTATTTGTTTTTAATTTGAGCCGATAAATTAGATGGTCTGTCGATGGGATTAGTATTTTTCCCTTTAAGATAAGATAACTAGAAGTAAGAACATTTATATTTATTTTAAACATAAATCAGGGAAGGTATAATGATGTAATGAAAAATTTACTTATATTTTTACTTTTGCACTCTTTTATTTTTGCCGTTCTGTTCAGTTTAATTTAATTTAATGATTAAAAACTATAAATCCTCAAATTTAATCCATATCATTTCACAAAAGTAGTTTTAAATCCAAAGGGGAAAAGGAAATGATCAGAGATTTTCCTTTTTTAAATATTAACGCATTTATCATTCGCATTTATCTTCATTAAAACCACAATAAAACTGATATGAACGCTGCAAAAAGTGTCCAGAAAAAGTCTTTTTGAACTTGTTTAAAGATTAATATACTGAGATTCTGTTAGATTATTATTATTTTCTTCTTTTAAGAAGATCAGTGCAAAGATGTTCCAGCGCTGTGAGAGAATTACAGGTGGTAGGACTTCTTGAAATTACGATATATATTCTTAAAACAAGAAGTCTTACTGGGTCGGCAGATTATTGGATTTATGTTGAGTACAATCTTCTCAAAATATTAATAATCTACCAAAATTGGCTCTTGCTAAGTATCATAATCTCTAAAAGAGATAAGAAAAAGATCTGTTGGGTAGATTTTAGATTGTAAGTCTTGGTTAAATTGACACTTTGGCAGTGAAACGACGAAGGAACTTTGTTTAAACATCCGCTTCAGAACAAACATGAAGAACACATTAAAAACCCATAATCCTCAGAGGCGACCCTTAAAGAATAGGAGAAGAAAAACACAAATCATTGAAATATTGATTCAAAGTTTTGATCTGATGAAAAAGATCCCGCTGATCACCCGACTCATGCATCGCTCAGATTTTGTGAATCCAGGCCAGGAGCATTAGTGGCTGCTTGGCGGAGGACCCGCTGGGAACACCTCAGCAGATGTTCCAGCTGTGCGCCCTGATGTCCTGTGTAAATCTAACAGAGAAAGCCGTCCGCTTGCGATCGTGCTCAGCGGTGAAACGCAAAACAGATGCGGCTTCGAACACCTGCCGCCTCAGCCCGTCGTACCTGATCGCCGGGCGCGTCTTGGCGGCCCCTCTCTCCTAATGCACAACAGGCCGAGGGCTGGGAGGCGCTGCTGCACGTCTCTCACGGACGCTTAACAGAGAGCAGGAGTTAAACCTGAGCTCTTCTCTCCATGAGGCAATTTGCTCAAGAATTAAGGAACTTCTAAACTAGATTAGTATTTAAAAATAACCTTTAAAGCTTTAACAAAAGGGAAAGCTTCTGCCAAGAGCGAGTCACTTGTATTATATAAATATGCATCTGATTTTACTTTGCTGGGGTGTGAGAAAAGCGCTCATCGCCGCGGTGCGAGCCAAAGGAGGGTTACAAATCAAACGGCTGGCGCAGTTCTGTCTTCTCCATAAAAGTGATGCTTTCCCAAATGAAGCAACCAGATTGTAACCATCAGAAGTAATTAAAAAGGATGGGAGCAGGACAAGTAAACAAGCGGGCTGACCGTGGTTTGTTGTTTTGCAGAGCGCTGTCCCACACGCCGGCGTCCTTACCCGTCAACCAGACGCAGCACTGCAAGCTCCTCCCGGGCCTGGTGTCCTCCCAGGCACAGCTTTGCCGCAACAACCTGGAGCTCATGCAGACCATCATCCAAGCCGCCCGCGAGGTCAAGAAAACGTGCCAGAAGACCTTCGCCGACATGCGATGGAACTGCTCGTCCATCGACATCCCCAGCAACGCCACAAAGTACCGGCCGGACCTGGAGAGAGGTAACGCTCCGCATGTAGAGGAAGATTGGCTTTCAGTTAAAGATTTAGAGCTACAAGAGTCTGGATTAAAGACACGCTTTCCTTACAGTTTGGTTGCCAGTAATACATTTCCAAACACTTTAACAGGAAGAGCCCCAGAAGGGAACTGAAGCGTTATTCGGTGTAGACATTTGGTTTGGCGTGTTCAAAATCCACAGTTTTCTCAGGCTGCGTGCCTGCATCTCACTGCAGTTTAATCCAGCTGCTTCTAGGGCCGGCGGTGGTTTCAGGGATCGGGTGTTGGGAATAGGAAGGGGGGTTAGCAGTCATTCAGGAGGACATGTCTGCCTGGGGCTAAATGAGCAGTCTGCACCGGACAGGAAATGGCTCATCGCTGTCCGAGCCTGGCTTTGATCTAACCAGCCCGTGGGCCAATACATGATTTCTTCCAGTACCTCCGATTGCTGCCATGCTTGGACGTATGCGCTGCCTGTGTATCCGCATCAGCATCAATCACATCAGCGCTCACTCTGCATTAGAGCAGGAAAGATGATGGTTAAAGGTCATTTCTTTTATGTCTGCAGCTTTCACTTTATTAACAGGAATACGCTGCAAAAACAGCATAAAAATACGGCAAAATATCTTAAAATAAGCGTATTTGCTCCTAATTTAAGCAGGTAAATATAAGTATCGACAAATAAAGTTAGTATATTTGCCTTTAAAATAAAGATAATTTGATAATATGCACCTAAAATAACAGAGTGAGTTTTTTTTCTTAATTTAATTAGAAATCATCCTATTTGATAGCCTAATTGTTTTACTTCCTTGTTTATAACAAGGGGAAATACATTTATTCCAGGAAATAAAGAAAGAAGGAAATAAATTGTTACTTTAAACTAGTGTTGAGAATAAGTGGAGTTTTTCTCCTTGTTTATGGTAATAAATCAGTAATTTATGCTTTCCTACAGATAATTTCTAAAATATCCCGAGTAAAAGAACTTTTTTTGTGAATAAAACTCGAAAAAATGTGGATTGCGTTTAATTTATGCATCCTTTTGCTGCAATAAAAGCTTCTAGTAAGTCGAGGCAGGTGAAGTAAAAATAGAACCAATTCATCATATTTTTACTAAAGTAAAAGGTCAAAGTTTGCCTCAAAGAAATGACTGAAATCAGAGTTAAAAAGTATTTGGTTATCAGGGCACTGAAGAACTGAATGACTGGCCTATTTATGATCATAGCAGCTGATTTAATATTTTACAAAAGGATGTAAAGTTAGGCAAAATGTAGTTTTACCCAAATTCAGATGTTTTAAAGAATTAGACAGAAAAATAACCATATGAAAAACTGTAATTACACAGTAACAAATTAAGATATTCACTCTGAGTTTATTAAAAGTTAGTTACAGAATGTTAGAATAGGCTAAATTACAGAAAACCGTTTACTGTAATTTTATTCTAAATGTCACAGCAGACTCAGCAGCTGGTAAAGAACATCAAACCAATACGCCTTGAATACAAAGGAGAGAAAAGTGTCTCATTCTCTATTTGCTTTAAACAAGCTTGATTTCATTAAGGGATGTTTTCCACAACCAGTGGAGTTGCCAAAAATTTAACTGAACAAGGAGTAAAAAGAACAATGCATAATACTAATACTAGAAGTGCATTTTCCTTTTCAAGAAGTGACTCAAGGAAATTAAGTAAGTAAATGTAATGAGTTACTGCGCAGCTTTAAGTATATCCGCTTCTGTGCAACAAAACTCCAGCTCCGTCAGGTCGTCTGTGGAGGAGGTTTGCTTCTCTGGCTGTGGATTTTCTCTTTACCGAGACACATGGATGTCATTTTTTGGGGGGGACGTGGAGGACATGTCCTCTTTTCCATTCTTCTTCCATTTTTAAAAGTCCTGCATATTTTACTGTCTGAAAAACAATGTTACGCTACAGTACACAGACATCCGTCGAGCACTAGGACCAAGCAGAAAACCGCAGCTCAAGCTGAAGCCCGCTTCCCTGAGTTTGGACCGCACACAAGCTGCTGATTGGCTGCCACTCCTGGGAAGCTCACTTTCCAAACATCTGATGTGCCACTGAATCTGGTCTGTGATTGGATGGTCTAAAACGCTGAAGTTAGTTATATTAAGGAATACTTGAGTTGCCTCCACTTTTAAAATTAAAATTTCGACACATGAAGATGCTTTAATTCAATTCAATTTAAAATGAATTGATCAGTCCCAAAGGGAAATTAAATAACGTCAGCAGCTCTCGCCGTATGTTTGGTGTTTGGTGTTGTTCTGCTGAAAGCTGAACCTGCACCCGTTCAGCAGGTTTTCCTCAGCAGCTCCTCCTAACAAACTTTGATCATCGTTTCTCTCTCTGCTGAAGCTCAGATCTCTCTGCTGGGCTTCTTGGTCCTCCTGATGCTGTTTACAAACTGGATTTAGGTTCAGTTTAGCAGAAGTGGGATATATTTAGAAAAATCAGCTGAAGTCCAAATGAAAATGTGCACCATGCTTTTCAGATTTTCATTTGTTTAAAAAAAGAAAAGTTGAATTTTTCTTTATTACATTTGAACGACCACAAAATTGGAAATAAAGCGAAATGTATAAAAAACAGTGCAAAAAAGTCATTTTTTCTTAAAATAAGTGCATTTTTTTCTGGAATTGAGGAGGTAAGTAAGAGACTTTGCCAATGGAATAAGACAATTTACATTTAAAATAAGTGAATATTATCTAATTTTCTTATTTAAAGAGTAGAAATACTCATTCCATTGGCAAATCATCTGATTTACCTACTAGAATTAAAGTTGCAGGGAACGGCATATTTAAATGTCAAATCATTCTGGCTTAAACATGTATATAGATGTACTCTTTATTAAACGATATTGTCCCAAAAGTTAGAAAATTTCTATCTGTTTGTTTCCGTTATCTTATGCAGGCCAGTTAGTTATACGTCAGCCTGAACACCTAAATTCGGCCAATCTTATATCAAAGATCATCTGTCAATCACATTTTTTCAGTCATAGCATCTTGATTCATGTGTCGCAGCTAATATACGCAACGGTTGAAATAAGAATCATTTCCTTTCCCACTGAGTTCCGTCCCAGTGTTCACGGGGATGGACGTCTGTGTCTTCAGCAGGCGTAGAGCTAACAGAACTGGCAGCGTTGCGAGGCAAGGGCTCAAACATGTACGGCTGGAAGCCTTCTACACCAAACCAAGCTTCTGCCGCCCTGGCGTCCTCTTCCACAACATCTTCCTCCCCGCTTTCCTCCTCTAAATAAAAAATGTATGACGGAGGAGATTCATCCACGACCTCCGACACTAAACTCTCCTCCTCTTGCATGGTTCCTCTGTCCATAGCGTTCCTTGACAGTGTCGTTTCTAAGTCACCAATTTAGTGCTACTTGGTCCCAATAGAATTTCCCATTGGGAACCTGCTAGCACTAGGTTGCTAGCGGGTTAGCAAGATGCTTCCGACAAACCGGCCACAATGAAACGTGCTTGCGAACCTTCTGCCACAACAATCTCGCCCCCTTGATAAACGACCAATAACATTCACTTTATTCACTCGTGTAAAAATTTGGAACTGCAACCGTTGGAACCGCCGCTTCCCTACGACTTTCAGGCTGAATACATTTAATTTAAGAATTTTTTTCTTCTTTCTAGGTCGTTTTTGCAGTGAAGGAAATTAACTGTTCAGTGTTCTTCTGCATGTTGTCCCTAAATACCTGATCTCCCTGTCAGGAACACGGGAGGCGGCGTTCGTGTACGCTCTGTCGGCGGCGACCATCAGCCACACCATCGCCCAAGCCTGCACCTCGGGGGATCTACGACTGTGCTCATGCGGCCCCATCCCTGCAGAAATCCCAGAGCCCGGCTACCGCTGGGGCGGCTGTGCTGACAACCTCAACTACGGCTTATTCATGGGCTCCAAGTTCTCAGACGCTCCCATGAAGGTGAAGCGCTCTGGATCCAGCGCCAACAAACTGATGCAGCTGCACAACAGCGAAGTCGGGAGACAGGTACATGCTTCTGTTAGAGGACGGGTTCTGAAAACATTCCTCCTGTAGGCACTGGGCTGATCCAAACGTATTGATGTTTAGGTGCTGAAAGGGGCGCTGGTGATGAAGTGTAAATGCCACGGGGTTTCCGGATCCTGCTCCATACGGACCTGCTGGAAGGGCCTCCAAGACCTCAGGGAGATCGCCATGGACCTGAAGTCCAAGTACCTTTCTGCTACCAAGGTGGTCAACCGGGTCATGGGAACACGCAAGATTCTGGTTCCCAAAGACATTGACATCAGGCCGCTGAGGGAGAATGAGATGATCTATTTGCACAGCTCCCCAGACTTCTGCACCAAGAATGAAAGGCTGGGATCAGTTGGCACACAGGACAGGTAGGAGCAGCATCTCAGCTCTGTGGCAAAGAGAGCTTCATCTCTCTGAGCAACACCAGCACTGCAGAAACTGATCAGATGATGAAATGTACCTCACTGTGAAAACTGCTCTAAAAAAAATTAAATCATTGCATTTTCCCTTAATTTAAGCAGCAAAATAAGATGATTGGCCAATAGAACGAGCATCTTTTACTCTTTTAAATAAGATAATTTAATTTTATACATCCCAAATAAGATAATTGAGTTTTCTTTATATTTGAAACATTAATCACCTCATATCATTGGTAGATTGTCTCAATTACCTCTTAAAAAATATTAAATTGATTAAATATTTCAGGAAAAAGGATTTAAATTTTATATTTTTCAGTATATGCCAGAGATCACGGATTATCAGACCACCTTCTGGCTAATCTGGACCCAACCTGATTTAAAACATTTATAAATTACTGCATGTTGTCCGACGACAGTGTCTAACTTCACTTGTGCTGCTTCTCCTGTTAATACGGTAAAGCCACAATCTTAATAATTTGGCTCTTTTATCTGTCTGAATCCCTCTCACCAACGCTGCATAATGTTTATCGAATGTAAACTGAGTTATTTTGGCTTTTTAGATCAGAAGTGACTGGTGCGATGTGTTGATGGCCGTACGTTCAATTGAATTCAGTTTATTTCTATAGCATCAATTCACAACACCTTACACTAAACATGCTTGTAGCAACAGTGGAGAGGAAAAACCCCCTTTTAACAGGAGGGAACCTTGCAACATTGCGTTCAATGGTGTCATGGAATTTAGCAGGTCAACCTAGGTCTGGTGTTCCCACAGCATGCTGATCAGAGCCGATTTGATTTTAACGCTGGTTAAACATCTTAAAGTTGTAACTAGGGCTGCAAATAACAATCATTTTACTCATCGATTAATCAATTGCTTATTTTTTCTGATACATAACCGTATAGGAAAAGGTTCCTTAAAAAAAGAATTATTAACGAAGGTTAAACTAAAACTTCCACTTGTGGAGTGCTGGATAGGACATATATTATTTATTTTTTATCTTAAATTTAAAATTTGAATATTTGTTTTACAATTTTGGGATTATTACTGCTCTAAGTTGCTCTGTCAGCTAAAGCTATGTTTTACAGTCTCTATACTCCAGTTAATGATTAATTAAATACTAAACTAGTTGATGATTATTTTAATAATCGATTAATCATGATTAATCTGATTTATTGTTTCACCTGTAGTCGTAACACACCGTTCTAATATATCTGAGGAAATGTTTAAATCCTGATCCTACAATAAGTTTAGTTTATGGCGAAAATACTCATTCCATTGGCAGATTTTCTGATCTATTTGCTTTTGGTAATGCAAAAAAACTCTTATTTTAAGATATTTTTTCCTGCTTTGGGAAATGTTTTTGCATTGTTCAGCATTTTATGTTGTGATGGGTAAATTTCTTCTTGGAGATGTCCTGTTATTCACCATTATTTGCTCTTGCTTAATCAATTAAATTCAGTTTATTTCTATAGCGCCAAT